ATAACTCCTGATCCACGAGAAATGAAGCTTTTCCTTCTTACCGAAATGCAGCATTGCCTCTCGTCTATCTAGAATATGAATTTAAAGTGTCAGCTCTTAATAGTTACTGCAATATAGCTATTTCACTTTCGAAGTTTGAAAATGTCTTTAGACTATTCACAGAAAGTATGAGAGTTAACTATTGTATGATTCGAGATATTCATTGAAAATGACCATCAGCTATTGAAACATACATAGGAAGGTAAGGGTGAGGAATTAAGGGTCATCCATTCTACAATATCTTCTGTGGTTAATGCTCGTCATAATCGTACAAAAATATCGTAATGAAAACTTAGGGAGAAAATATTTATAGGTAAAATATTGTCAAAAAGACTTCGCACTCAACCTAACCCCCGCCTATTTCATTTAATTTCCGTCTTTTTCACTTCGCCTATACTTGCAAGCAAAACTAATAACATACTAGAGATCAGCAGACAAAACTGCATCGTCGCATCTTGATATCTTTTTGCGGTCACTATAGTGACCGCAAAAAGCGCGCTAGTTACTCGGAAATCAAGAAATTTAAAAAAAGCTTTTATATATATCCGTGGTTCTATATTTCATGTCATTTCATCACACTAACCAAAGGTTATCACTACCGTACTATATTTCTTAACAGTTCTCTTTTCTTCTTTGTATTAAAAATGACTGATTAAGGTCGAAATATTGTAAAGATTAACTATGCGATCAGTTTCCTTGGCTACGATTTTGCTAAAAGCGTTAATTAAATGATTATCTGTATCAATTTATTAGCTTTTCTCAATAAAAAAAATAACATAAAAACTTTTCTCTAGTATTTCTTACCAAAATCTGATAAATCAAAAAATTACAATCTTATATTTTATATGCACGGTGAGTAATAAAAGACTTTACTAAAGTTAAATGAATTTAATTTATTTTGCCCTTTCGCACCGTATTCTCTCTGGAAAAAAGGCTGCATGAGAAATGTTGTACTAATGAAATCTATTTTGTAATATGCAAAAGTTGAAGACTTCGGATATTCTGAGGATTGATTTTAACAACTTAGACTTGTCACAAACAGTCTCCTTTGTTCGGTTTTTTGCTCGTTTATCTCATATGCAGTACTTGCTACTTTATTATAATACACTGACAAATCATCATTATTGAGAGCAGTATTAAGCGTGAAGAAATAGAATGTGTTTAGAAGACCGATTGAAAAAAACGACAGATTAACTCATTTTGGGGATTTCATAAAATCAAAAATTTCGGTGTATGCATGCCTAGTATAAATCTGCAAATGTATTTGAAAGGTCCGTTGAAATAATAACTCAGTTGACAGTGATTTTGAGGTAGGATAATCATGGCGACCGCTTTATTCTAGTTTTATAAGAATGATGAGAAAACACAACTGTTACATATCTAAAAAATGTGCAACAACCAAAAAGCGTTTCTGTCTACTTACCGATATTGACGGTAATAATATTTACATTTCGTCTAACATTTCGTAAAGAAGAAGAGTCGCTGTTATTAATAGAAAAACAGAGTAAAAGATATTAAGGGGAGTTCTGTTTCTTTTAATAAAGACACCAATATCATAAACGTCAACAACGTATCAAACGTAATCTTTATAGGCAGGTTGTTGACACCTAAAAAATTTTCTTTTTCTCTGTCACCGAAATTGATGGCTTGTTGATGTGAAAATTTAGTTGCATTCGTGAAGGAGCAAACAGGAAAACAAACAAAAGGCATGAAAGTTTTTCATCAGCAACATTCAACACTAAAAATTTCAATGTATAGCTAATCGTTCCGTATACAGAGAATTGTGTTCGACAAACGAAAACCCTCTATAATTGATGCTTCTGATGAGGGGATGTCCCGACATGATATCCTTCGTTGCTAATGAGTTATACCTCAATCAACAGAGTATATCGAGCTCGGAAAAATCCTAAAAGGATTTTCCCTATGCCTCTTGAAGATCCGTTTTTCTGAAAAATCAGTTTTTTAGAAACTCTAAAAAACAGCCAAAACGCTTTTTGATGAGACATGGTAGCAGTGTGCAAATATCTGATTAAAATGAGACATCTCCCAGCTCTGCGCGACCTTTCTTTGCAAAGTTAGAGAATTTACAAGAAAAGCCCTAAACGTTCGTTGTCAGCTCAAAGCTACAGAAATAAGAAGGAAAGAATTAATTTAGGGCTTTGCTTGTAAATTCTATAGGTTTGCAAAGAAAGGTCATGTAGAGCTGGGAGATGTCTCATTTTAATCAGATATTTACGCACTACAGTCATGTCTTATTAAGAAAAGTTTGGGTTATTTTTTAGAGTTTCAGAAAAACTGATTTTTCAGAAAATCGGGTCTTAAAAAGACATGAGGGAAAATCCTTTTAGAGTTTTTACCAGCTCGATATACTCTATTGATTGAGGTACAACTCATTAGAAACGAAGGATTTCACCTCGGGACGATCGCTCGTGAGAGTTTGATAATAACATCTTTGAAAAGTGGTATCCAAGGATCCAAGGAAAAAATTTATACAGCATTTCTCAATTTAGTTTTCTAAGTTTATACGTTTAAGTGATTGCACAGCCAATTTACGTAGCCGGTTCATGCAATATTTTGCTTATATCCGTTCCAACCTAAGGATTTTGATAATTATTTTTAATATTTTGGTTATTTTAAAAAAACGTGCAACTGCGAAAGGATAACGTGATTTTTACTTGTTATTCCAGACAAATGGCTCAAATAGTAGAAAATACGAAGATTTCAGCTTTACACAAGCTTTACACTTATCTTTAAAAAAATATTTGAAAACTAATCCGGCTTGGCGAAGTAACTCTGCGACCGCAATGGCCTTCCATAACGTTTTCTCTGCATTTTATTCCTTTGATAGTTTTCGAATGAAAACATATCCAAAGCTCTGCAACATCTTAAACTGAACAGAAAAGTCTGTTAAACATTTTGAGATGTTTCCGACTGTACATCCGAGGTGGGCGATGGACTATCGTTAGCTTCCTCGCGCGGATCGCCTCACACACTTCCTGCCTCGTCATCGTCCTGTACCTCGCCAAGTTTCGATAACTGTACTTCGCGAGGATCGGTTCGTAAGCTTTCTGCTCCATCGCCACCTCGTCCGCCGTCTCTTTATGAAATTTTCCCGTATTATTTGATGTTACAAAATTGTTTTAATCAGCATCTATAGTTAAACGAAGAAAATATAGAAAAAAAGGACATTAAATATAAATATTTTATTTATGACAGAAGAGAAACTTTCAGAAAAAAGCTTAATCTTTGCTTTTTTATACAAAAATAGTTAGACATTTTCCAGAGACATTCATCATTCGTCAGCATTACGAGTTGTACTCTTTGTCCAGTCTTCTTTAGGAAAAGGTACCGCTCAGTTCAGATGTATTATTTTTTTCTCATGTGTATACATCTCTATTTTTATTGATGAGGACTGCTGCTAAAGTCTAAAGTTAACTGTAGACAACGAGCAAACTGCCAGTATGGGTGATTATGCAGAATTCGTTGGAAACGTATTGATCAACTTAAGGAGCGTTTCAAAATCTATTCCGGTCGGTCGCTTGCTATCACTGTGTTTCCGCGACTATTTCTGTATTCTGCTGTTACAACGACATTCCATTTTATCTAGATAATTTTTATATAGATGAATAAAGGAACTTTGTTTTGTTTTGTTTTGTTTTTACTTGTTCAAAGACAACCGCTATGTTCCGAAAGATTATTCTTTTATCAGTCGATCAAAAACACATACTTTTCTTTTACAGTTTATTCGACTCTGATACTCTTTAAACTTTTCTGTAAGAAAGATTTTTTGTTTATCTGTTTAAAGAAGAACAAATTTTATATTTTCATCAAATGTTCATCTGTTATATATTCAAGGAAGAGAGTGCTCACTCTAAACTTATTTCATATTCTGCCACATTCGCTAATTCAAATTTCATTAATTAGAGGAGACCCATTTTCCATTTTTTGTGCTAGTTTAACGCACACGAGTTGTACATGTTAATGATCTATTATTTAGAAAAGGATCCCTTGTAGGTTTTGAGGTATATTGCTCTTTTTATCGCTGATTATAGTTTAAAATAGCAAGTTTTTCTGCAATGATCGGACAAACGGGATTGTTTGTTTGAAATATAATTCAGTAGAAATAAAATAACTATTTATGAGGGAAACTTTCCAAGTGCCGGACAAAATTTCAGGTCGAAAGTCGTCCATTCGATTTTTCTGAAAATATTTTGACGGTTGGGAGAATACGAAATACGTTTAGAGTGAGCACTCTCTTCCTTGAATATATGAAGGACGAAAGATAAGATAATTGCAGCTTTAAACATTTCCTTTCTTATCTGAAATTTTCTGGTCATTTTAAAGAAAATAATAAGAATAGTGATGTATATACATTGAATGAGAAAAAAAATAATACATCTCAGATTAATATATAAAAAGTATCAACAAACTTGTAACTTGTTAAAGTTTTCGTATGCTGAATAGTGATATTGCCAGTTGTATAACTCAAAAACTAAACGGTATCTTTTCCTAAAGAAGACTGGACATAGAGTACAACTCGTAATGCTAACGAATGATAGATGTCTCTGGAAAATGTCTAACTATTTTTGTTGTTTATTCATATTCTTTTCTTCAGGCAGATTCAATAATACTGTCCAGTCTAGTTACCGGTGAATAAATTCACCAATGCGAATTTTGACGACTTTTTTAAACATTCTATTGATATAATGATGCATTTTGGCTTAAAACGGGTACAAAACACCACGAATAATCTTTTTAAAAGTCGGTAAACTCTCATTACTATACCAGGTACGCTCGATATGAGATAAGAATAACACTCCAAACCTGTTTGCATATTGCGCTCTGTGTTTCTCACCTGAAATGTTGTCTCGCGAGCCTTCACTTGTATCTTCCAAAATAATGTCTTCTTTTACGTTTCTTGTCAACTTCATTCAAAAGAGAAATTAATAAACTGCGTTAGTATGTCGGGTGCTCGTCTAACTTCTACCGAAAAGGAGAAAGCATGGATCAATGCTGGCCGAAAAGTTGGGTTAGAAATATGGCGAATAGAACAGTTTAATGTCAAACCGTGGCCAAAACGTCAATACAGTGAGGTTTTGATCTTGTAAATAAATTTGTCAAATTCTAAACAGGTTCTATCGATTTAGGGAATTTTTATACGGGTGATTCATACATAATTTTGAACACCCATACAGGAGCTAATCAAACTAAAATTCGTTGGGATATTCATATTTGGGTAGGTAATGCAAGTACACAAGATGAATATGGAACAGCTGCTTTTAAAGCTGTAGAATTAGATGATTCTCTTGGAGGTATTCCTGTTCAACATCGCGAATCGGAAGGACATGAATCTTCGTTATTTATGAGTTATTTTAAAAATCAAATTAAGATATTAGCTGGTGGAACAGAAAGTGGTTTTAATCAAGTCCGTGCAAAGAACTATCAACAACGTTTGCTTCGTTTCAAAGGGAAGAAATTAGTGAGAATTACCCAAGTGCCACTTGAACGAGCATCACTGAATTCTGGCGATGTGTTCGTGTTAGATTTAGGTTTGGTGATTTATCAATGGAATGGTTCGAAATCTGCAGGACAAGAACGAATGAAAGCAGCACAGTATTGTCGGGCATTAGATGATGAACGAGGCGGATTACCAGAAGTGATAGTATTGGAAGAAGGTGATCAAGAAGAGAAATTTTGGTGCCATTTCCCTGAAGGTTTCGGTTCAGTGAAATCAGCCCGAAAGGGCGGTGTAGATGACGAAGTAACTGGCTGTGAGAAGGAATTGTATCGTCTGAGTGATGCATCAGGCACATTAAAATTCACAAAAGTAGCAACAGGAAATGATATTCGACGAGACTTGTTGAATTCAAATGATGTATTTATTCTTGATATTGGTTCAGAAATATTTGCTTGGGTTGGCCGAGGTTCATCTGTTGCAGAAAGGAAAATGGCAATGAGTTATGCAAATGAATATTTAATCAAGAAACACAAATTGAAATTACCAGTATCAAGAATTTTGGAAGGTGGAGAGAATGAAGTATTTGAACATTCGATGAACTGGTAATCATATAAATACTGAGAAACAGTTGAACCATTCTGATCGGTAGTTTTATGCTTAATAATTCTAAAAGTACAATTCCCCTCGTGTGTAGTAATCAAATTTTGTTATACTGATTAGTCGGATGATCCCATACCCAGAATGAAAAGAACAAGTTTTATCAATAGAAACAAATGAGTTTCATATAATATTGTAAAGTAACCGCCAAAAAGAATACACTAGCATGTGCAAAATATCATCTATACCTATCTGAGGAGGGGGCAAATGAGCAATTGCCCGTTTCATTTGGAGATTTGCCTATTGTAATTTTTATTAGTAAGTTTTGGCCCATTGAAATTTTACTTTTTCAGAATTGTTCGTTTATTTTTGAATCAGATAGTAAATGTAATGTTTTTCGAGAATTAAAAGTTATTGTTAGTCTATAATGAAACAAAATAGACTAAACGGACTTGTTTGTGCATACATTCATAAAGATCTCGATATAAATCCAGATGAAATATTGAAATTATATGCACAAATGCATCATCGTCGTCTCGATTTTGGTGTTTGAATTTGAAATATAAATATCATAAACAGAGACATTAAAAATAGACTAAAACACACCTGACTTAGCCTTAAAATTTGAGTTTAATGGGTATTTGATTAAAAGAACCTCATTTCGTTTCATTCAAGTGGTCCGCTCATGCTTTGTTGGGCCAAAAATGTTCGGCCCATCAATAAAAATCTTGCCCATTTTGCCCATCGTTTTTTTCCGACACAATAGAAGTTTGCCCATTGGTCTAAATATCCTGGTTACGCCACTGCAAACGTCTGCTTTCTTCAAAAAGAGATATTATCATAAAAATAAACTCAAACTGTTCAGTATCAATTTCCGTATCGCGACTCAATAACTTTATTGAGATCCCGAATCATTTTACAAACTGTTTGATCTGCAGGTATGCATCGCACCAGTATAGTGGGCATCGAAAGGGTTTGGCACCCAAAGCCTTTAGTGATCAAATCCCTTGGACACCCAGTAAACCAGTAAAGATACTGGTACTGGTACATACCTATTCTTTTTACTCTAGATAAAGCTGCGAGAAAATTTTCTTAATCTAAAAGTCCACTCTCAAATCCTTTATCTTCCGTCAGCCGGCCAAAAACTCACGAGAAACTTGATTTTGGTGCTGTTGAACATAAAAATCAGCGTCATTGCAGCGCAAAATTTACTTTTTATTCAATAGCAAATCAACTGTCGACTTTCTTTAGTATTCAGATGATCCACATTTTTTGAAAGTTTCATCTAAATCAGCGTAAAATAAAAATCCTTAGGTGCAAACTTCAACTCTCAATATACAACTAGATCAACGCACTTTGTTTATATTTTGCAAACTCTAAACATGGAAAATGGCTAACGCTCGACCAGCATGAATAAAGTAGAAGTTGATAGTAAGTAAAATTAAAAATCATCAAACTGTAAAGCACACTTTTCTGCATAGAACACTGTCTTTTGTTCTATTTGTTCATGCTTATTAAACGAAAAAACATGAATCAAACAAAATCGAGGATCACTACTAATATTGGATAATTGATCATGCCACAAGAAAAACGTATACAAAGAAAGAACGAAAGTGATGATGATGAAATATCTTATATAGTTTTGAAGCGCAGAGTCTGAACTTTTCATCTGTTTAAAAGTTTCCCAGGTCGCTTTTGCTATGAGAAAAATCTTTTGAAAAACTAGAATAAATCAATGTCTGTGCGCTACCGAAAATCGAGTTTAGTGTATTTTTTGACTAAAAAAGCGATTTATTTTTAAACTCCTTATTGACCTTTCGCTTACTTTTGATGGATTATCTAATGCACATATTGGTTTTTCGTCCAAGTGCTTTAGCGCCGAGAAAGTTGGTAACGCACAGACACGACCTTTTGGGCGCCTTATATTAACACATACATAGAACTACTGGAAGTTGTTTGTTTCAGCTATACCTTGAAGTTCGAGATGCACTTGCATAGTTTTCGTTGCCGAGTACTTAATTTGGAATAAAACGCAGAAGATAAAAACACAAAGTTTTTGAGGGAATTTTAGGACAACATCGTCAGGAATTAAGCATTTTTTAATTCTAGATTATTTCAGCGTATAATAAATTTATCTCGTAACGATTTGTAAAACATTTGCTTCGGATAAATCTCACTGCTGCACAAAAACAGAAGTGTTACTGAGAAAATTGGAAGAAAGGTCTTCAGATTCTGACACACGTCCCACACCTCCATCGACCAGGTTTTGATGCTAGAGGCAATCTCCGAGGGTATACCTGCCGGCTAAACCTGAGTTCTAGGAATCTCACAAACAGGTGGTACATAGGCTGCCGGCCACGCTGACTGTGGCAACGTTTGTTCTGTTATTCAGGACCTTGTATAAGCATTAATGAAAACCTTAACATGAAAACAGTGGTGGCTGCTTGAAATACAAATGAACATCATTATGTTGATATTCTGAAGTGATATTTCCAAATACGAAATAATATTTTAGATTTAGGAATTCTTTTTAAAATTCGTGTCAGTGCGTTATCTAATGTTTTGTCAATAAGTCAATCGTCTTTCAAGGTATCAATGTTTTCTTTCAATAAAAGACAGCCCTGATTTTCAGCTAGAAAAAGCTTCTCTTATGCGAGTCATGAACATGGAGTAATTCACAGAATTTATCACTTCTTTCACATTTATCGAGGGCGGAGGATCTTTTTTGTCTGAGTGTTACCGATCAGTATTTTACTTATAAAATCCAAAGAGGTAGATGATCGAGGCTGAAACGTTTAAGAATTATAGAATTTGTTTACCTACATATTTGTTTAAAATTTCAAGTCTCTCTCTTTTATCGATCTCGAGATACATTCGTTCGAACTTTAAAAAATGTCTGTGCGTTACCTGCGTTTTTCATATAAATCTTTTGAACAGGAAACAACATTTAAACGAAAGTGCATGTAATAAAGTTATAATTCTTGGAAGAAAAGAATTCTAAAGGTGTGTGAGATCAGTAGAGTAAGAATTGAACCTTAAAAGAAAAGATCAATTCAAAAAGTTTTAGGACTATTGAATTCATTACTTGGTATATGAAATTTGTCATTGGATCTCACTTCGTATTTGTTTGTTCCTCAACTAAATGCTTTGAGACATATGCTCAGAGCTAGACGAGTTTGAGTCATAACTCAGACTCGGGTTGTATTTTGTATTCGCTAAGACTCAGCTCAAATTCTATGTGTAAGACTCGTGCAAGGAAAAAACTCGAGTCATTTTTTTAGTATTTAAATCTTCGTTTTCTTATTCATCTGTTAACCTTTTTATCGCCAAGAATTTGAAAAGAAAAAGACGAAAATACATCTATCACAAGAGATAAAGCATCCTAGTCAGTCGAAAATGGCCATTATGAACAATGAAAAGTCTATCTTATCTGTTGTATTTTGCTTCGTTCTGCACAATATATAAAATTTCACTTTCTTTCATGTGAAATTATTTGGTGCCTATGACAAACGTCTTATTACAAATAGTGAACAGAGTAAACGAACTATTTGATCTTACATAGTGGAAAAAATTTACTTTCTTACTTCCTATCACACTATACAGCGTATGATACACTATCTCCTCTTCAGTGACAAATTGAAAAAAAGATAAAATATTAACATGAAAAACTACATCTAAAACGGATATTGAACTTAGCATAGATTACTATTCAAATGAAATAAATGTTTGTCTGATTACTGTTAAGTTATGATCTTTATCTTCATCCACTCTATTTTATCTCTGCATTTTCTGTTTCAATCTGTTATTGTATAACTGTTTTTTCTTCTCCATCCGTACTAAATGATCGTTTCAGTACCCAATTTAATGTTTGTTTGGTAGCTTGTCTTCGTTGTATATTCGTCTTTCCACGAATTCACTTGTGTACTTCAAACTGCCAGCGAAACTGGGTGTGTACAGAGGGTATAATGTAAAACAGAATAGGAAAATAAAAAACTGTTTCGTCTTCTGCTTGTCACAAGATTTTTTAACTGTCTTACACGAAAATTAGAGTTTTAATTCTCTAATCCTCGCCATCACTATAATGTTGTACTCCGCAACAGTAGCGAGTCTCCTATAACTCAAGAACCATGATAGCTAGGGACTTCTAATTTGTGTGAGCATTACTCTTACCGGATGCCGATTACCCACCAAGTTTGGGCCTCTTTTACTAGATGGTTCGTGAGATATAAGCGTTTTACTTCTTTTCCATAAAATGCTAATAACTCCTGATCCAAGATGGATCAAAACTTTTTCTTTTTACCTAAATGTAGTCCTGATTCAAACAAGCATAGAAACATACGGTTCGAAAAATGTAGGTGAAACTTTTGACAGAACGATTACATACTCATCTATGATCTTCGCCATTTCATTTATTTTGCGTCCTTTTCACTTCTTTTCTATTTGCAAGCAAAACTAATGACATAGTTGAGATCAGCAAACAAAACTCAGTCGAGTAGCATACTTAACATTTAGTTTTCGAACAAAAATGTTTCACTGAAAATTTTCTCTCTAGGTTAATAGTGAGCGTATGATCTTTCTAGAAAAGTTTCACCTACGTTTTTCGGAACCATATGTTTCTATGATTATTTTTTCATAATTATGATGCGCATTGATTCTATAGTAGAAAGAGCGATCCTTAGTTCCCCACCCTCGCTCTTCCATGTATGTTTCAATCGTGAGTGCTTGTTCTCAATAAATTTTCAGAACCACACGATAGTTAACCTTCACACTTTACTAGTCGTCGAAGAGTATTTGCTGTGAGCTTGAAGTCGCATTGATGTTCCTAGAATGAGTTATGAATTTTTCTTGAAAAGGACCTCGTATCTCAGAACCTCATTTCCGGAGACCTCGACCGCAAAAGTAGCCGGTCCCCTGTAACTCAAGAACCATGATAGCTAGGGACTTCTAATTTTGTGTGACTATTACTCTTACCGGATGCTGATCACCCACCCGGATGCTGATCACCCACC